ACCCCGAAGCGGACGTGGACACCTGTTCCGGCGCCTTCTTCCTCTACAAGGATTCGGTGGAAGTAATGGACTGCCTGACGCAGTACGATATGATCGTGGTCGACGAGATCTCCCAGCTCTCCCAGAAGGACTATGAGCGCATCATCCAGATGTGGGAGGCGGCAGACCGGGTTCCTGTCCTCGTCTTCGCAGGCGACTTCTGGCAGCTCCCAGGCGTGCAGCCCTCCAAAGCCACTGACAGCCCCAAATGGCACATGGTGCATCAGATCGAGCTCCACGAGATGTGGCGCTGCAAGGACGAGACCTTGCGCGAGAAGCTGGTCGCTCTGCGGACCGCGATGCCCACGAAGAAGCTTCTGAAGCGCATCTGCCTTCGCCACAAGGCCTGGTCCGGTCATCGGAAGCCGACGGCTTGGGACATACAGCAGCTCTACCGCAAGGTGCCCCACACCACGGTGGCCACCTGTACGAAGAGAAGGGCCGCCCACGTCAACGACCTCTCCATCTGGGTGCTCTTCACGACCCAGCGCAAGCGGCAGCTGGCCAAGCTCAAGGTGGACTGGGAGTCGAATGCGGACAACTACGACGAGAAGAACAATGTGATCGCGGGCCGGCCACCAAAGCCCTTGACCATGAAAGTCTACAAGAACCTCCGCGTGCATCTGACCCGCAACGTGGACAAGTCCTCAGACTTCGTCAACGGTATGGAGGCCACTGTCAAGAGCTACGACCCGAACTCTCGCTGCCTCCATGTGCTCACCAAGACAGGTCGCAACTTGGCTGTGTACCCCATTACAGACTGGGTGGAGGGCTGCGGCTACGTCACTGCTTACCCAGTCCGTCCAGGATATGCCAGCACGGTGCACAAGCTGCAGGGGGCCGAGCTGGAACATATCACCGTGTGGCTGGACATTCCCTTCATGCGGGCGGCTGGATACGTGGCACTGAGTCGAGTGCAGCGAGACACCGACTACCTCTTGGGTGGCATCGTGACGCGCCGCCACTTCCTTCCGGCGATGTGAGTAACCGCAACATGTACAGGTAATTCGGCCGCTGCATTCTCAAAGTGAAAGTACCGGCTGCTGTAGGGCCGCAGACGGCGGGAGGTTCAGGCACAGTCCTGCCCTGGGCCCATGATGTCACATCGAAGTTGTGCTGCCGCCATTTGCATTCACAAGAACGGGAGTTGCGTGTGTGGTGCACGGCGTAGGTTTATGTAGCTCATACAGCTTGTAACACGACATCGACGAGTCATCATGTACCTGCGTCGCAAGCGCTCAGAGCTGTCAGGAGGGCACCTTCTCGCCGCGTTTCATCCCGCAGCCGTTTATTTTGCAAGTCCTCCTCCTATACATCTAGGAACCCATGCAAGCTGGCCATCGTTTGCGATTCTTCCTTCGATTCTGCCTGGGCCCCCCCCAAGATAACGACCACCGTCGCCGATGC